TGGGGAGCTCCTCACCCACACACCCACAATTATCAATGAAAAGAACAAGACCAAAGACAACTACAACATGGAAAACAAGCTTAGGACAGAACTGTGTAAAAAGCACTTCTGTCAAGAGTCTTGGGAGATCTAAATTCAATGTGTTAAGGGAGGGGTGTTGAGCCTCAGTTTATTTTCCTTACGTCCCAAATTTTCCCTAACACCACTATCATGTTATGCATTTTAATCTCTCCTAAGGATGAAGTAAAAAATGCTTAGTTTGGGGAAAGTCAGAAAGTGTACAGAAGAATAAAGAGAAAAATAATTACCATCAAGAAAGTGGCCATCATTGCTAATAATTTTAGCATTTTTTCCTTCCGACTTTTTCTATACATATTAAATAAATTATCTCATTAAAATAGAGATGAGCGGGCACCAGGAGCCCCCAGGGCTGAACAATAGGATGTTCCAGTGGCACAACCTTTACCCCACATCAAACTAGTCCCTAGAATGGAGAGGTCACCAGGACTGAAGGAGAAGCCTAACAGCACCATGGGAAACCAAGAGAAAAATCAATATGGCGGGTGGAGGTGGGGTGGAAACATGGGTTTGTGGGAGAAGGGTCTAGATGAAAAGAAACTAAAAAGACATACAAACTGCAATGCCTTAGCTTGAAAGACTCCTGTTTGGAGGAAAAATACAAGTTTTACAAGACTCTCTTCAGGGTTAGACATACGGATTGGCTATTTGATCCTATCCAGGAATGGCTATTCATTTGCTTGGAAGGGACCCAGGGAGTGCGATCATGATGAAGCATCTCCTCACTCTCAGGAGAGGATGCTGAAGAATTTAGGGGTGCAGACACACCACAGGGATGCGACTTATTTTCAAAAGAAAAATGGTCTGCGTATAAGGAGAAAGCAAATGTGGCCAGGTGTCACAACTAGCGGCTGTGGGCCGAGAGGATAAAAGGTGCTCACCTGCTCTTTCAATATGTCTGTATGTTCAGAGAATTTCCAAGTTAAAAAAGAAGTGGGGGGAGAGAAGGTGGGAAATGCTGGCAACTCCTAAAACTCTTCACCCCCACACCAAAGTATCTCCCGACAGCGACTGTCAGTCCCCTCCGGCTTCCTCGCTGCGCCTGCCCCCTGTATCCTGTCCTTGCCTCGTTTAGAGCAGACATACAGAGCAACACTTTATGCAGGGGAAAACTGGGCCTGGGGCTTTAAAAGAAAAAAAATCTCTGAGCCCCCCCTTGCTGAAGGGAAAGGTATGGGTCAGATCCAAGGGTCAGAACAGGTGACTTTTCTGAGACAACAGAGGAGCTATTCCAGGAGCCTGCAGGGGAGGAAGTGAGGAGGCCCAGGACCCAGCCCTGATCCGCTCTGCCTGCCCCGGACTCAGACGTCTCTGCCAAGCGAGGAAGGCCCTGGGAAGGGCCCAGCTGGAGCCGCCAGAGTCAGGGGCCCTTCATGTGTCCCTCTCACATCAAACCCCGGCCTTTGAGAAACAAACAGGAAGTCCTCGGTATAGTGCCCCAGGAACAACTTCAGTGTCTGAGAACTAAATGATGCCTCTCAGCTAATCACGGAAAGGTAAAGTCCAATACCTGGCAAGTGTGTTCACCGCAGCCTTTCCCAAGGGCCAGACATGGCCTCGCTGGCTGTACCTGGGAACCTGGTCTCACAAGGACTTGAAGGGGTTCCACCCTGCAGACCTGTTCTGAGTGTCTTCATCTACTGCTTTACACAGCCCTGCGTATACTTCTGGAACACCAGTGTTCTCCTCCATCTCCTACACCCACACCTTGGTGGTTGGTCTAGCTGCATGTACCGAGGTGGCAGAGGCTCGTCACTGAGCCACATGAGTGGCCTGCATCATAAGCCACTACTCTTTACCTAACTCTGGGAGGCAGGTCCTCGATTAGAGATGAGAAAGGACTCCCAGGTTGGTGAAGCCACTTGTCCATGGTCACTTTGCAGGGATTAGCTGGTCAGAGCTCCAACTAGCTGCGTTTACTCTAGATGTTTCCTCTGTTCATACAAAGACCTCAATCAAAGCAAGTTTCCATCTCCGTGAGAGTTAATCATTTTCTCTGTCTCCCCATTTAAGTTGCCATAAATGTGCCTCACACACTTCCAGAAGTGTCCCAACAGCTCTTTGGGACAGGGATGTCTGTTTATTGCAAGGTAGGCCACGGTACACGGCAAGACAGAGCCAACCCAAACGTTGATTTTGGAACCAGGTTCTATCCTGTTCTGACAGGGAGAGAAGCCAAAGCCCTTCTAGCAAGAGAACCCGGGACTCCAGAAGGGATGCTGGGCCTGGGCAGGAGGCCTCCCACTGAGCTGCAGCCAGTAGGAAGCAGGCAATTCAATGCCCCCTAGATCTCGGACACAAAGCTGCCCCCAGGCTAGGAACACGGAAGGCCAGGACTCACACCCAGGCTCTCTCCCCTGAATACCACGCCCCTCCTGCCTGTCCACCACATGGCCTCACTGAGTCTCTTCAATTGCTGCCTTTTCCCAAGAACAGCACAGGAGCAAGCGGGAAGCTGGAGCGTTCCTCTGGCCTCCTCTTGGAAGCTGGAGCGTTCCTCTGGCCTCCTCTTGCCTTCCCTGGATTTTAGAGCTGAGCAAGGCAGATAAGGCAGGAAAAGGGACAAGGCCAGCTGGGGAGGGACAAGATTAGTGCCTAGAGGCTGACAGTCCAGAGTCAAGCAAGCTTGAGAGCGATGAGGGAAGCAAATCCAGTAGATTCAGGTCACTGTGAATTATTCATCTTCCTGCCAGGGCCCAGCTCAGAGTCATGGAGCTTCTCAATGAATGTTTGATGAATCCCAAGTGGAGGACGTTCTGTAGGGGATGGGGACTGCAAGGAAAAGCGCAGACACACTTTTGAGGCACAACGGTGAGGGTTCTTGGCGCCCACAGCATGGCAAAGACAGGAGAAACTCCAGGGAGCAGAGGGAAGAGATGGGAGAGGCAGAAATAGGAAATGAAAGAGGAAGAGGGGGAGTGAGCCCACACGATTCACTGCCAGAAGATCCCGAGTTTCGGGTTTAAGCACTGCTGCTTGAACAAAGTTTCCGAACCTTAATAATGAGAATATCTACATGGCTGATCTAAGGATTAAATAAGATAACACATATGAATGCACTTTACGAAGTTGCAAGAATTAGGTGACTTTGTCTTTTTTTTTTTTTTAAGATATAGGAGCTTGCTATATTGACCAGGTTGGCCTCCAACGCCTGGGCTCAAACAATCTTCCTGCCTCAGCCTCCCCAGCAGCTGAGACTACGGGTATGCACCACAGTACCTGGCTAAGTGACTTTTTATTATAAGCACAGCCAAGGTCTAAATTCTGCAGAAAAACCTAAGGACAATTGCTCCCTCCTTTGGGGGAAGAGGTAGGTCCCTAACTTCTACATCTTCTTTTCTGTAGAAACAGAAAAATCCCCTACTGACATCTGGATTGTGCCCAAAATGGCTTCTTCTTTAACTTATGGCTTCTCTTTCCAGCCCCTTGTTAGGATGTCACTGGACTGTAGGTGGCTCAGAGCTACGTACTAAGGGGATACCCATCTGTCTGCTGATCCTTTCCTCCCAAAACTTTGCCAGATCCACAAATACTCTGTCATTTCCTGTGTTCTCAGGAAGAAGTCTGTGCCCCAAGGGACAAAGCCACTTGCTTAACAGGCTGGACAAAGCTCTCGAGGCCCACAGGCTGCTCCTACCTTTTTTCCCTTCCCATATTCCCCTGATGCTCAGGGCCTTTTTTCAGAAAGTTAAAAAAAAAAAAAAAAAAAATTCAAACTGCCAAAAGAATCCAGTTGTTCACTCTATCACTATTCAATTACATCCTCAGTGGAAGTCCATGCCCGAGAAGTCTCAATGTGGAAGGCAGTAAGCTTCATGGACAGGGGTTGTCTTTATATTTTGCTACAACAAAATAGCTAGCATAAATTAACATTTTCTTTCTTCCAAGTTCCTCTTTGCATACTTTACATTCTAGTGGTTTCCTAATTCTCTCTCTCTCTCTCTCTCTCTTTTTTTTTTTTTTTTTTGTCATTTGTCTGATAACACCATGTTGGGTGGTTGGGTGGTGTAGGGCTTACTTTGCCTCGAATATTTCTTTGGAGTAGGTACAGGTGTATCTTACCTATGAGGACAGGGGGCTCAGTAGCATGATACCACTCCAGTAATCACATCTTCTTTCTCCCATTTCAGACTGTCTGCAGCCTAATCTGACTCCTGGCCTAGCTTTCTGACAACAGGCAAGTCACATCCGTGTTGCCAGATTTACCATCAATGAAATTTATACAGAAAGCTCTGGGGCAAAAATCAGAAATAAAGAAAGTGTTATATTTTTACCTCCAACTTGTGAGATAGTGAAGGGGCATAGAAGAGTAAGGCATTCCAGTACTGAACAGGATGGATGTGAGCACAGTTTCTTGGAGGAAACTCATTGTAAAGGTCAGGAAAACACTGATAACATCCAGAATAAGGATGGAATAACTCTGACAGCTTAAACTATGAAGTTCAAGGCAATGGACAGATTGAGCTTCCACATAAGAAAATGATTACTAGACAAAAACAGAATAATCAGACCAAATATATCATGTTTGACTTTTCCTTCTAGGAAACTCTTTGGTGAGAGCCTGGTAGAGCAGGGACCTTCTACAACTTACCTATGGAGTCATGAACAGGCTAGCACAAGTCCAGCAACAGAGAATAGTGGAAAGGCCCCAACCAGGAGGTAGGAGGTCTTTTACCTAGGAATTGCTTCACCAAAGCTCCTCACCAGATTGCAGAAAAGTCCAATTGAACTAGTACTGAAAGTCTGTGAAAAGTTTATACCCATCTGAATTCTGATTAGCATCATCAGCCCTCCTGGGCTTAAGCATTGTAGTGAGCAGGTCAAACAAGGTGGGGACGAAAACTGTAGGCTATATGGATATGGTGGCCCTCTTCTCAATCTTGAAAAGAGTTGAGCCCTGCTCACCAAAGCCACCAGTCCATCTGGTCTCCACGATATGAAAGTGGGGAGAGTCAAGAATTAGGAGTATCCCACTTGAACAGCAAAAGATCACAAACAGGTCAGCATCCTAGACCTCCAGGTGGAATGAGCGGGGTCAAGGTTATCCCTCCTTTCTTTCTGCCTCTCCCCTATTCACCTTGCCCCAGTTTCTTTAGCCCAGTCCACCTTTTTCTCTGCTCTGGCTCACCACCACCAAGGGTGAGCCAATCCTTGTCTCCCTCTCCCCGCTCTGAGTCTCTGGGGCTCCTGTCGAACTTTAATGCCAGGATTTCAGACTGGGGGCTGCCGGAGTGGGACTGCTGCGTAATTGCGGAGCCACACACGTGGTGAGGGCAGGAGAGGCAGCCCTGGCTCTGGAGAGGTCCCAGAGCCCATTATCTTTGACAGTGCAAGATGAGGGAAGTGAGTTCCCGGTAGGATTTACAAACAGAGGGCCATTGAGTTGAACGTCCGAGAGTAACCTCGGATGCAGATGGACCTGTTGCCAAGCCTGCCTACTGTTTCTAAATTCCGGTTCCAGGCATCCTCTCTACCTGGGCTTTGCAGACTCCAGCCCGTTCTCCTTCCACCAGTTCTCCATCCGGGTGTCCCAGAAGACCGGCCTTTGAGGTGGGTCCAGATAATCCTTGGGAGCGTGGGAACCTGAGCTACTAGGCTGCTTCTCCCGGGCAGCCATTGCGAACCTTCTCAGACCAGAATCCCAGCAGCAGCGAGCTCGCGCCAGGGATGAGCTTCCCTTCTCCGCCCCCTAGTTTTGCTAGAGAGTGCAGGACGCGCGCCGAGTCCCACACAGGGCTGCCCGCTCTCCCGCTCCTTTCCGCGGCGTCCAAGGGTGGCCATCTTCCGAGCTGGGAGCGCGAAAGCCCCGAGGAGCGCCCCCTTTGGAGAGTGCCCGTCTCAGGCTGAGCTCGCGGAAGGAGTGGACGCGTGGGTCGCAGCACGCGCGGCAGCTGTGCACAGTTACCCACCGCTGGGACCTCCACGGCCGCGCAACCCCCCGGGGTGCGAAATCCGACCCCCACCCCACGTCGGCCCAGTAGGCCCAGAGGAGGACGATTCTGGACGTGGGATGAGCGCAGGAGATTCACTTTCCTTCCCTCCTGAACGTCCCGAGCTCGATTCAGAGCCTGAGGTCTGTTTGGCGCCCAGTAACCCCGGGCTCCCGATCCCGCCGGTGGCAGAGAAGGGAAGCTGGAGCCCCCAGACTCTTACCGTAGCATCTTCTCCCGCGTAGTGCGCGATGACCCGGTGGCCCCCCGGGTGCCGCGTGGACCATTTGGTGACGTTGTAGACCTTGCGGTCGACCACGAGCCACTTGTCGGTGCCCTGGTTGTGCTTCTGAATCTCCTCCCAGCTGAAGGTGGGCATCGGCGCCTCGCGCTCGGTGGCCCCCTCGCCCTGGTTCCCCCCCTTCCCCATGCTGCCTGCCCACCGGGATGCTTCGTGCGCCGCGGTTTCCGGGAGCCGGCGGCTGGCTGCACGGACCTTTCCCTCCTGGCCCGCACCCTCCTCGCTTTCGGCTTTTGTCTTCTCCTACTCCTCCTCCCACCGCGACCCCTCCCCTCGCCTTCGCTCCTCCTCGCCTTGCAAGTATCCCTGCCTTCCTCCGGTGTATCCCGGTTTCCCGGTGCCCCCAAGTGGTCCCCTTCCTTCGCCCCACCCTCAGCCCGCCCGCTACGACTTTTGCCTCCAGTAAAAACTCCCGGGTAGCTCACGGCCTCGACGCCTCCTCCTCCCGCCCCTCCAGCCCCCCCCCTACCGGGGCTCCGCATCCTCCCGCGTTCCCCGCCGCCCGGGTTTCCACAGTGATCAGCAGAGCGCCTGCACCAATCAGGGATCGTCGCCCCGCCTGCCATTGGCCCAGGAGGATCTTTCGAAGGCCAGCGGGCTGGAGCGGTGGGTCCCCGGCTCCCCCGCCCGCCCGCGTGGAGTCCAGCCCTGCGGCGAGGCCCGCTACGTGTCCGACCTCCTCCCTCCCCCAGATGCAGCCCTAGGGCCCGGAGGAGATCCCAGAGGGGCAGACCGGGGGCGGCGACTGGGCTCGGCCGAGCTCAGGGGCGCGTGCGCGCACTCCAGGCGCTTCGGGGGTTTGCACCTGATGCCGGCACAAAGAGGGTTCAGCCGCCGCCCACGCCAGCAGGCTCTTAAGCTGGCGAGCAGGCCAGGACACCGAGTTGGTGAGGTCCACTCCAGGACTGGCTTGGCTAGGTAACGCCCTTCCCTGGCCCGCTGGAATCGAGACTCCGGTATCTCACATTGTCTGAGCGATCCACGTTGTGTGGCACCTCCCCGGCAGCCTCTCTGGGGAAAGGAGCCGGTCTGGATCTGTTTGCAGGCTTTGAACCTTTTAATCAGACAGTCTTGGGAGGAGAAATTGGGGAATCTCTGTTCTGTTCCTTGTGCTAGGAGCCAATGCCAGGAAGGAGGTGAAATTCCAAGTCGCAGCGCTTTCCCAGGATTCAAGCTCACAGCCTTGTTGGGAAACACGGAAACAATACAGGACCATATATAATTGATGTGAAGTGGTGGTGTTCAGACTCGGGGAAGTCTAAGCCTGCAGTCCTGCAGGTCCCCAGATGCTGTTTAACATCAGTGCCCTAACAGGGCTGGCCCAGATTCCTGGGGAAGTGGGCCTGGCTGGATGAGGAAACCAGTAGAAAATAAGGATGAACAGAGGGAGGTGCAGAAGATTTGGGAATCAGCAAGTGGCCCAGTCACTCCCGGAGACCACAGAGAGTTCATACTGCCTAGCTCCTAATGACTTTAGTGAAAGGAACCAACCTGATGCAGGGGTGACTTGGGCAGACATGGGGAGGGGGGACCAGGCAGGATCCCTTCCATGTCACTCCAATAGTCCCAGACCTATAGGACCTCCATGGCCTCATCATTCCATACTGGTATCAGTCCTGAGCCCTGTCGTTCACTCCACAAACCCCAGACCTGAAGAGGGCGAGACCTCTGCCTTAGAGCTTCCCCACAAGATAAGAGAGAATGAAGCAAGTCATCCAGGGGGTACAGTGACTTTTAGGCCTGTTAAAGTTTTATTGAAATGGAACCAAGAAGAGGATTTTTTCAAAAGAGTATTAGCACAATACAGAGATCACTTCAATGAAAAAGTTTTAAAGGGCTGTGGAGCTCAGGAGAGGGAGCGATATCTGAAAGGAAGACCCGGGGAGGTCTCCCAGGTGAGCCTTGGAAAGTTGGGGAAAGCTGGGGTTCCTAGGAGCAGGTGCCAGCTGGGCACTAGCCAGAGTGCGGGGGGGAAAAAGGCAGGGATGAATGAATGAACAGGACGGCTGCAGCAAGGCCAGCTCCCGGCAGGTTTCAGGTTCGGGGAGCCTCTTGGGCCTCCATAAGGACAGGATGAAGGACTTCGTGGTGGAGCCAGTGCAGAGCTTTGAAAATTCACCCAGCACGAGTGTGCCCCGATCGGATCTGTGATGTGGAAAGAGACCCTCTGAGGCAGGTTGGGGCTGGGATGAGAAGTGGGGAGAAGCCAGGGATGCAGCAAATTTAGCTTAGGATTGAGGAAGGGAGGCCTGGACTAAGGGGACTTCATGAGACCAATCTCCCACTAGAAGCACCTGGCACCCTCTGCCCTCTTCCTGTTCCTCTCTTATTGAATATTCTGCCTGCTTGGATGAGCTGGTGAGAGTGTTTGCTCAGCCAACCCACCCAGAGTCACTTAGGAAAAGGGGTGATCTCAGAGAGGAAGGAATTCCTGTGGCTTCCTCCTGTCCCACAGAATCGGCCCTCTGCTCCCCCAGGAGCACCAAAGACTGCAGCCTCCCAGGGGTGCTGCCAGGATCTCATCATGATCTTTCATCTTTATCAGTGACAAAAGGTACCAGCTTGCAGGCATGGAGCCCAGGTCCCCTCAGCCAGCCAAGAGGGTGAACAGATCAGGCAGAGTGCATACGAGGGGAGAGAGGGCCTCCAGGAATGGAGCCCACACCCACAATCCCCGCTAAATGGGGGGATTGCCCTCACAAGGAGGCACTGATGGGAGCCTGTTAGGGTCATGAAAGAGAGAGTGAAAATGAATGACCCTCCAGCCATCTTGCAGCTGGGGCTCATCCAGAGGGAACACTGGAGACAAAGGGCACCTTGGAGGCAAACCATCAGCAGAACATTCATTCTGGCCTCTTCTGTCTCTTCCTTTCTTTGGGTGATAAATATGGCCACATTGCTTCCAACCTTTAAGATATCTTCCTGTTGCATCTTTCCAAAGCCCTCAAGGTCCACCCACTATCACATTTCATGAATGCGGACTCTGTGCTCTCTGGGTTTACTTTCTGTCTTCCATTCATTTCTCAGTTCATTACAATTTCTCCCATTTTTTTTTTTCCAGTGCTGGAGATGGATCCCAGGGCCTTGCACGTGTTAGGCAAGTCCTCTACCACTGAGCCACACCCCGGCCCCACTCTACTCCAGTTCTCCTAGTGTGTCAGTCAGCTTTCTGTTATGATAACAAACACCTGAGACGATCAACTTATTTTTTTAAATAGGTTTATTTTTGCTCACCGTTTCAGAGGCTTCAACTCTCTGGGCCTGTGATGGCACATCATGTGGAAACGTGTGGCAGGCAAAACCGTCTACCTCATGGCTTAGAATGGAAAGAAAGAAAGGAGAGGGGCTGGGGTCTCGCTGTCCCCCTTGAGGGCATGCCCCTAGGGACCTCTTTCTAGGTCCCACCTCTTCAGGGTTCCATTGCCTCTCAAAAGCACATGCTGAGAGCCATGGCATTTTTGGTTGAAAGCCATTGAGATGATATGATTATGTTAAGATCTGCATTCAAATGGATATTAGACCCCTGCTGTCCGCCTCCACCTGCTACTTTGGAGCTCTAGCGGGACTCCCGGAGAGTTCCCATTGGTTGGGGAAGTGCGGGAGGAGGGATTGCCAGAGGAGGGATTTGTCTGTTGGTGTAGTGTGGCCCAGGAGAACCGCCGCGTGTGTGGTTCGGCATATTTCCCGGGAGAGTGCGTGGCATTGGCGGGAGTTTCAGAAATAAAGTTTGTTCCTGCTTGAGTGGCTCGTGATTTTGTGCCCAGCCAGACTGCGGCAGGGGACCAAGCCTTTGACACATGGACATTTGGGGTACACTTACAATCCAAACTATAGCAAAACATAATAATAGCAATCCCTCCCATTGGTTTCTCCATTTAAGTGCACAAAGATCTTTCAAATAATGTACAAAACCACTGCATAATGTCCAGTACAGAGCGATCATTCAATAGACAGAAGTTCTCATCCTTCCTCCCCATGACCTGGTTTCTCCCATTTCCTTGTTCAGGGACCAGTCTGCATCCAAATCTACATTTGCAATGCCATCTCTTTCCCAGGGCCTGACCACACTTCCACTCCTTCCCTGGGCTGCAAAGCTGAGGTCCCCCTCCCAACTGAAACCCAGAGGCAAGGGAGCAGCCCAGCCTCATGTGTTTTGGGGGTCTATCCAGGTCTAACTCACACCATTTCAGGTACAAAATCAAACTTGTCTTCTTCCCAAATCCAACCCTGCCTTTGAACTTCTCCATCTCCATGAATAGCACCACTGTCCCTCCAGCCATGCAGTGTCAGAATTCCAGAATATCTTTACTTTTCCAGGATCCCACTCTTACAAAAAGGTTATGGTGTTCAGCAGATTCTACCTCCAGAGGGTTTTATTCTGCCCCCCTTATTCCTTTGTCTCTGTTACTGCCCTGGATAAGACCTCTCAACAACCAGCCATTGCCGCACTGAGCCCAGATCTCACTGTGACTTTCCTTGACTCCAAACTTCTCTCCGTCCCTCATTACCTAGTGAATTAAGTAGGGCTGAAGTGCTCCCTGGGGGCTGGTCATGTGACTCATGGGTAGAGTGCTTCTAGCACACAAGCGGCCCTGGGTTCCATCCCTGGAAGAAAGGAAGGAAAGAAGGAAGGAAGGAAGGAATGAGTTTTCCCTGAAGACATTGGCTTGCCTGTAGTTCTAATGCAAAAGGCAAAAGGCACACACACACACACACACACAAAAAAAGGCATGTGGGGAGAAATACCTTATTTTTATGTAAAATCATGGTAGGAATATCCCATCGTAGTTCAGACCATGAAACCAAAATTAGAGAAGTGTTCTTGGGCCCTGAAGTGGAGAACCAACAGAACCGATATGTAATATCTTAAAAAGCTTAGTTTATCTCGCGGACAAACAACTGTAAGAATGGGCAATGAATGATCACACTACACTTCTCAGAGAGCCCAGGCTGGGTGGGTTGTGTCCAGTCTTCCATTCTCACATCAGACAAGGTCGTTGAGTGCTTTGTATGTCCCTTTAGGTCCCTTTG